CAAAAAATATGAGTAACCCCAGCTCATTTTGATTGATAGCAACATCGTTTACGAGTAGAATCTGCATCATATCTGTAATTCACAGAAAATCTATTGCATGTCAGACTAATACCTCACGATGAGAAGTATGTATTTTCAAATTTGCAACTAACATTGTGTAGTAGGTACCATGCGAAATCCAAACGACGGTAAATACAATAATCAGTTTTACATAGAGTACCACAAGGTTCAGTGTTACGTCATCTCTTGTTCATTATTTATGTAAATGATCTGTTTCATAACATGTTGCTTTCGCAGACGACACAACTTTGGTTGATGCTATAGCATGGATATTGGAGAATTGAAGGTGAATAGTTCTGTTTTTATCGTGCTGAAAAATGTTTTACTTCCAATAATCTCAAATTCAATAGTGATGAAACACGACATCTCCTCTTCCTAATGAACAATTGCATTATTCAAAGTGATAGTGTGAAGCTGCTTGGTTTAGTCATCGATGATAAACTGAATTGGTCTTGTAATGTTCAAGAACTATCTCAAAAATCACAAAGAGAGAGAAACTCGAAGTCATTACCACATACTAGTTCATAAAATAAACGATAATGGTAGATACCGAGAGAAAAACAACTACTTTCCTGGCTATATGCCACGCAGAACATTGCATTACATCCTCCCGAAATCTATTCGATAGTTCATATAAACGAATAAAATCGCAAGTGTTTCCTTCTTAAACGCTGAGCTACTCTTAAGTGGTTCAGGAACGCTGTCTACCTGCAGACCGGTTGCGAGCTGTTGGCTCTCATCAGTACAGGGCTGTCCCAGATAGCTTCTTGACCGCTATCTGGTGCGAACCTGACAAAACGTAATCGCATCTCAGCATTTATACCATACGAGGCGTTCGAAGTCCGCGAAATGAAAACGCGAACGTCGAACTCCACCTGGCAAGGAAAGAAACACTCCAAAACACAATCCCATTTCAGGTGAAATGGGAGTGGCTGGTTGCTCGACTGGCGTATTTTCAACTAGGGAAAAAGCCAAATACTCAAAGTGGAATGCAATGGTCCATCCCAGCCACTCCCGTTTCACCTGAAATGGGATTGTGTTTTGGAGTGTTTCTTTTCTTGCCAGGTGGCGTTCGACGTTCGCGTTTTCATTTCGCGGACTTCGAACGCCTCGTATGGTATAAATGCTGAGATGCGTTTACGTTGGGTCAGGTTCGCACCAGATAGCAGTCAAGAAGCTATCTGGGACAGCCCTGTACTGATGAGAGCCAACAGCTCGAAACCGGTCTGCAGGTAGTCAGCGTTCCTGAACCACTTAAGCGCAGCTCAGCGTTTAGGAAGGAATCACTTGCGATTTTATTCGTTTATACGAACTATCGCATAGATTTCGGGAGGATGTAACGCAATGTTCTGCGTGGCATATAGCCAGGAAAGTAGTTGTTTTCCTCTCGTTATCTACCATTATCGTTCATTTCATGAACTAGTATGTGGTAATGACTTTGAGTTTCTCTTTCTTTGTGACCATTGCATTCCACTTTGAGTATTTGGCTTTTTCCCTAGTTGTCTCAAAAATTCTCGACCGTCCCAGTTACGGTACGATGTTGAGGGAAAACACTTAGAGAAATTTTTCGTTTGCAGAAACGTGCTGTCAGAATCGTTGCTTGTGCTGGTTTGAGAGACCACTGCTAACCAATTCTTAAAAGTTTGAATAATGCCTCTTCCATCGTTATATATTTTTGATTCACTATCGAAAATCAATCAGAATATGATGAACCGTAATAGTACTTCTGGCGTCAGTACCGCTGACGATTTTTGGTCATGTTTCAACAGGAGCATTTCTTTGGAATTTATTCCGGGCAATCTGAGAGAAACGTAAACTTCAAGGGCTTATTTTGGAACAAGAGTGGACGACTTTTGATCCGGTAGCAGGAAATAGATGATTGTTCCATTAGGATAAAAAAGAGGTAACATTTTCCTGTCGAACAAAGTTACTTTTGATTCGAATGAAACATGCTATTCTTCTTGCAGCCGAACAGATTAACACTTAACAATGAATTATTATAAGTGAAGTAACCACAAAGTAACCACCAATATGTGACTCACTTGACAGATTATTATCAAAATAATATGAGTGAGTGGATAGAATTAATGCCTCAATTTTTGTTGACATGCATCATGTCAACAGAGACTACAGGTCAGGTTCATTCAATTTTCAAGGATGTTCGAATTGTGTATCAATAGCTGAAAGCAGATTACTTACTCACAGGTACGCACTGATGATGACTTAACAGTCGCTCTGCTACGAGTAATAAATTTGAATAAATTATCTTGCACGAAATACAAAACGACCCTTCATTGGTATTTTTGTTCTTGCCAGATTATCTGGTAGGGAAAATTGATCTCATCGTCATCACTTGACATTTTATAACTGAAATTTTGAAATATCAACAGAAGATATCGTGGGCGTAAAAGCAGAACCCTGCAAGTCCGCTTTTCTTGGAAATGAGGAATTTATCACACATAAGTCCATATTAGCGTAACGCTCCAGGCAAATAAACATTCAAGTCCATTTTGCGTTTGTTTCCGGAGATATAGTCAATGAAAATCCACTTAAGTCAATTTCGTTATAATTTTACAGGTTCATTCAAATATTCAATTGTGTTTTTCTCCTTATATTATTTTCTGGACTTACATGATTCTGCTTGTACGCCCACGATATAATCGTCATCAAAAAAATATTACTTGCCTGCTTTCGGATTCGTTTGATAACTTGATATATTGATGGATAGATAGGTAAGCAACTGTCATTTACTGAAATTGACACATCGCCTAAGCAACGAAACAAAGTCATATGTCAACAGACATATGAAAACCAAGCGATCGCCCGCTTTACACACACGTGCGTGAGAAGAGTTTTGTGTACGATATTCATCACTTACGGCCAATGAACTCAATATAAACACCTGAAAGGAATCCTCTGTGAACAGCGAGTGAGACAAAAATATTGTTCAGGCAACCCACAGCCCTGACAACACAGGGATGTTCTAGGCGCGTCCCTTTTTTGTCCCGCCGTACATCCAGGGTGTGTCCCGCAGTTGTTGTCCAGTGGACATCCTGCCAGGTACTTCCCTAGGTTATCCTATCCGTGTCTCTGGAATATCTGATATTCATTCACATCAGAGTCATTGAATTCCATCAAAATATTGAGTTACATTTTTTTTAAATGTTTGGTTTTCTTTTGGAAAATAATTGTGATGGAAATAAAGAATATAGTCCCAGAACAGAAGATAATGCCCTTGATTTTCAAACACCCAAGAATGATAATAATTATACCCAAATCCCAACAAAATTGTATTTATTCAGGTTTCTGTAGTTCAGTCCTGTTAATAAACCTGTTTTGTACATAAATATTCATAAGGCATATCAGTCAATGGAGTAAGGTGCGTGCCTGATAAGCTAAAGGTCTCGGGTTCAATCCCCACTCGACCTACATTTTTTTTCTTTTGTCGGAGGGATGTATCTGGAATATCCTTGAGACGTCTCAGGAATATCCTTTTTTCGTACTTGGTACATCCCAGGGACGTACCATGAGGACATCCCTTGGATTCCTTTTTTGTCGGCCAGCGGATGTCCCTGGGATGTCCCTAGTATAAAATTAGGGACGTCCCTAGGAAGTCCCTAGGATGTACTTGTGTTATTAGGGAGTGGTTACGGACACCTATCTCTTTCTATCTTATGTTGGCTAATGGAAAGCGCTCGCATTATTTGAAATATTTTCTTGTTTTTTGCTTTCATTTAAGAGTTTATGTGAATGAATATAAATATTCATTCAGGAAAAAAGGATGATATTTATTGATTTTTTTGTTGACTCGAAAGTGGAATTCCACTTTTATTCTTATACAGGATCAGGAAGGCGAAAGAATACAAAATTGGAATTATATATTCTCATTCAAATGTCACTTTATATTGTACAATGTGAGCGAAGCTCAATGTCTCAGCACAATTAGAAGAAATAGAAGAACGATAAAAAAAATTGAAAAGTTCTTGAATGGTATCGGGTACCTAAGGTCTAAGCCTAAGTTTTAAGAGTACCCATTTGTTAATGAACATTTCACTATTAGAAGGTGAATGGAAGGTGAATGAAAAGTGAATAAAAGTACAATGTTCGAACGATTTTTTCCATTGTAGATGAATATCTGCGTTGCCCAGAATGTTCACCTAAATTTTTTCCTTTCTGAAGAAGGAGAAGCTCCAAAGGTGAATCTGAAAAGTCGATATTATGGTGTGGCTCTTGACTTTAAGGATCTGAACTTATAGTTTTTACCTTCAAAATGTTGTTTTGGTACCTCATCAAGATTGTCATTCTCCTTTCCACTTTTTGTTTCGGTGTTTTCACTTTTCTTTGCAATAGAATAAGCTTTCTTGAATAAAATAATTTGTGGGTTCTATTATCAATAAACTTTCGAACATACATGGAAGCTGGAAGTTGTAAGCGAATCAATGTCCATATGAAAAACATTGTCCTTAGAATCCAAGTTATGAACATCCACAGATACATCCACACTCACAGCCTCATCCTGAAACTAAATCACTATAGTTTTTTTTTTAAATCTGAAATATTTTCAACTTACCCATTAAGAACAGTTCCTGTTTGTCTTCTTTTTTTTGCATCCAAAGGCAACACAATATAAATAACCATTGTTTATTAATTCGAAATCACAAATCTTTTCAACAAAAATGTAGCGATATTTCACATGACAAAAACACTGTTTCGCCTGTTTAGTTAAAAAAAAGATCTCAAGTACTCCAATCATTGGATAGATGAATATTCATACACCGATCCGCCCTTAAACAATACTAGTGTGAAAGAGACAGGCCGTAACACAAGCTATCTATATTGCAGCTGCCCCTGACACACTCTGTGCTATTCGAGAAACCGGCAGGCCCCCTTCCACGTGTTTATATTGAGTTAATTGCTTACAGAAAAAGTCGTAGAAAAAAGTACTTACTTCTTACCTGCGCCGCCTTGAACGGATTCGCCCCAGGCACGTCGAGCGTTCCTCCCTGTCCCGCCTGGTACGTGCCGTACCCCTCCTGCTGCTGCGCCAGCTCGTGCAGCTTGTTGCTGGAGAGGGCTCGTGGCAGCGGGTTGCTGGGCACGCCGTGGGGCGCCAGGTGGGAGGTCTCCTCTGCCACCTGGCGCGGGTCCTCGGTCTGGGGCAGGTCGCGTACGAAGCCCTGGTCGGCTCGGTAGAAGTTGATGAAGATGAAGGCGGCGAGCACCTGCGTCATACGTTATCAGATCACTTAGAGCTCAGAGTATGAACAGTTGGAGTTGGAAATTGATATTTTTTCTTCCATAAACTACCTACACTGGGGGTATTTGTGCTATTTATGACAATGGAAATATCAAGAAATCTACTTCGGAATGTTGGCCAATGACTTTTACCCACTTCAGTACTTGTTTCCGATTCCAAACTGATATTTTGAAAGCATTCGAACCAAAGTCAATTGTATTCTATGATAACGTACAGATCCATCAAGAAAATGTAAGACGTCTAACCTTTTTGAACGCGGCATCTCTTATTGATGTCTGATTTCTTTATATTTCTGACATGAATGTGGTTATCATAACCGTCAAAGTTATGGTAATTCATGGGAACGGAAATAGACTCCTTCTATTTCAAGTTGCGATCATGTTGCAATGAGTATGTTTCTACTCGTAAAAGGCTCCTGTGTGATGATTGAAGTTGTAAAGATGAAGGACTCACCTTCATTTAGAAGTTATCTATGTTGATGATTGAAGACGTTGAGTTCAAGATAAGGGATGAATTATATTCGAAGTTTGATTGCGATCAGTATTGAGATAATTATTATGTAGTTTTCTGAGGGATGGATGTTTCAATTAATGGATGAAGAATTCAATCATCCAAAACATTCTGAAACAGATGAAACTGAGATTCAATCCCATTGAATCAAGAAATAATAGATTGTTCTCAATAACTGATAGACTTTTGTTGTTTTAGTGGTTTTGAATTCCAAGTGAATATGAAAATTGGTTAGATAAATGATGGAGAGGACTCGTGATAGGAGCTTGATGGGTACGCCGTGGGAAGCCAGGTGGGAGGTCTCCTCTGCCACCTGGCGCGGGTCCTCGGTCTGGGGCAGGTCGCGTACGAAGCCCTGGTCGGCTCGGTAGAAGTTGATGAATATGAAGGCGGCGAGCACCTGCGTCATACGTTATCAGATCACTTAGAGCTCAGAGCATGAACAGTTGGAGTCGAAAATTGATATTTGTTCTTTCATAAACTACATACACTGAGGGTTATTGTGCTATTTATGACAATGAGAATATCAAAAACTTCGGAATATTGACCAACATTTACCCACTCCTGTGATTGTTTCCGATTCCGAACCGATATTTCCAAAGCAATTGAACCAGAACCAATTGTGTTCTATGATAATGTACAGTTCCATCAATAAAATGTAATCTTTCTAACCGTTCTGTGCGCGGCTTTTCTTATTAATGTCTTATTTTTCTACATATCTGACATAAATGTGGTTATCATAACCGTCAAAGTTATGAAAGTTAATGGGATCGGTAATGGACTTTTTATATTTGGAGTTGCGATCATGTTTCGATGCGTATGTTTCCACCCATAAAAGGCTCCTGTGTAGTGATTAAAATTGTAGAGGAGCTGTATGAACTGACAGTTGTGAACTCACCTACATTTTGACGTTATTTATGTTGATCAAGGTATGGAATGAGATCTGATTGCGATCAGTTTTGAGATAATAGTTATGTAGTTTGATGAGTGATAGATGTGTCAATTGATGAAGAATCCAATCACTCGAAATATTCTGATAAAAATTCAATGATATTGAATCAAGAAATAATTGTTGCACCCAATAACTGACAGACTCCTGTTGTTTTAGTGGTTTTGAATTCCTCCAAGTGAATTATATGAAGATTGGTTAGAGGTCCTGCATCATAAATTGATCTACACTGAGGAGAATTGTGCTATTCATTGTCAATGGGTTTTTGAGCTGTACTGTTGAAAATTGTTCATCAATGATTTGTTCCCACTCCTGTACTTGTTTTTGACTCTGAACCGATAATTTGAACCAGCATCGACTTCAATCAATGATGACGGTACGGTTCCATCAATAAAATATATGATTTTAAAACATTTTTTACGCAGCTCTCACGAGAACAAACCTCTCATTGATGCACGATATCTCTATATCTCTTACAATAATGTGACTGTCATAACCGTCGAAGTTATGAAATGGACGGGGCGTCAGGTGGGAGGTCTCCTCCGCCACCTGGCACGAATCCTGGTCGGTTAGTTGACTTCATTCCACTTCTGTACTTGTTCTCGATTCCGAACCGATATTTTTAGAGCAATTGAACCAGAACCAATTGTATTCTATGATAACGTACAGTTCCATCAAGAAAATGTAAGTTTTCTGACCGTTCTGTACGCGGCTTTTCTTATTGATGTCTTATTTCTCTATATATCTGACATGAATGTGGTTATCATAACCGTCAAAATTCATTATGAAATGTATGTGTGTACCTTAAGCATTTGAAAAACTGTGACTGACTGTGACAACTTTTCAGAGCTGTACAGCAACCAACTAAGTTTTTTTCTTATGGATGTTTGTGGTGTTGGCAAAGTGCCGTGTGAGGAATACAATTTCCCACAGTAAGAGATATTCATGGTTTTGAAATTAAGTGAGCTATGATGAAGTCACTACTTTTGATAGAAGTAGAAAAACCCTCCATCAGTGCCTGATTTCGGTAAATATTACCAACATAAATATGGCTATCATAAACGCCAATGCTATGAAAAATAATGGGAACATTATCGATACAACTTCTTTGTTGAGAAATAAGCATAAACAAATATTTTGTATTGTAGAACTTTCAATGAGGCTGAAGATGGTCTTTCATAAGACCGAAACATGTCCCTTTTGATTATGTAACAACATCATTGAAATTTGTGGAGATGACTCCCAGCATTCCTTCCATCCTTCAAAGTATGGTAGAGATAGAAACGAATGCATCCACCTACCAGTAGACAGGCGATGCCGTACCCCCGGAAGGTGGTCGTGGACCCAAAAGCGTTGACCAGCATACCGCCCACGATGGCGCCGCACCCCCGGCCCAGACCGTGGTGGATGCCCTGCAAGACGCCCTGGGCGGACGAGCGCAGCTCGACGGGCGTATTGTGGGCGATGTAGGAGCAGCAGGCTGCCCACACGGCCGCGTGCGTGATGCCCTGGAACCAAAGAATTAGCGTTTCATTGCGGGACGACAATAAATGAACATAAAATAGAAAAAACGATTCGGGTAGTTGAAAATGTCTGAAAGGTGGTAGGGATGGGTGCCTATAGATCTATTTGTATAGCTGGACAAGCGTGCTGTGGGCGATGTAGGAGCAGCAGCCCGCCCACAAGGCTGCGTGTGTGATGCCCTGCAACCTGAGAATGGGCGTTTTATTGCAAGAAGGCCAATAAATGAACAAAAAATAGGAAACACGATTAGGGTAGTTGAAAATATCTGAAAGGTGGTAGGGATGAGTGCCTATAGATCTGTTTGTGAAGCTGGACAGGCGTGTTGTAGGCGATGTAGAAGAAGCAGGCCGCCCACACGGCCGCGTGCGTGATGCCCTGGAACCAGAGAGTAATTGTTTTATCGCGAAACGACAATAAATTAACATAAAATAGAAAAAACTATTCGGGTAGTTGAAAATGTCTGAAAGGTGGTAGGGCTGAGTGCCTATAGATCTGTTTGTAAAGGTGAACAGGCGTGATGTGGGCGATGTAGGAGCAGCAGGCCGCCCACAAGGCTGCGTGTGTGATACCCTGCATCCAAAGAATAGGCGTTTCATTGCGAAAAGGCCAATATATGAACAAAAAATAGGAATAACGATTCGAATAGTTGAAAATATCTGGAAGGTGGTAGGGATGAGTGCCTATAGATCTGTTTGTGAAGCTGGACAGGCGTGTTGTGGGCGATGTAGGAGCAGCGGGCCGCCCACAAGGCTGCGTGTGTGATGCCCTGCAACCAAAGAATGGGCGTTTTATTGCAAGAAGACCAATAAATGAACAAAAAATATTAAAAACGATTCGAGTAGTTGAAAATGTCTGAAAGGTAGTAGGGAGGAATGCCTATAGATCTGTTTGTGAAGCTGGACAGGCGTGTTGTGGGTGATGTAGGAGCAGCAGGTCGCCTACACGGCCGCGTGCGTGATGCCCTGAAACCAAATAATGGGCGTTCTGAAGCGGAACGACAATAAATGAACAAAAATATGAAAAATGATTCGAGTAGTTGCACATTTCTGAAAGATGGTAGGGATGAGTGTCTATAGATCTATTTGTAAAGCTGGACAGGTATGTTGTCGGCAATGTAGGAGCAGCAGGCAGCTCACACGGTCGTGTGCGTGATGCCCTGGAACCAAAGAGTCAGCGTTTTATTGCGGGACGACAATAAACGAAAAAAAATCAGGGAAAATGATTCGAGTAGTTGCAAATTCCTGAAAGATGGTAAGGATGAGTGCCTACAGATCTATTTGTAAAGCTGAACAGGGTGTTGTGGGCGATGTAGGAGCAGCAGGCCGCCCACACGGCCGCGTGCGTGATGCCCTGGAACCAAAGAGTTAGCGTTTTGTTGCGGGACGACAATAAACGAGAAAAAAATAGGGAAAATGATTGGAGTAGTTGCAAATTCCTGAAAGATGGTAGGGATGAGTGCCTATAGATGAAACACAATAACCCTAATATATCTTTCTGCTGAGAAATGCTCTTCAAATTTTATCCGCATAATTTCAATTCAATTCGACATTTTGAAGTGGGACAAAGTCACTTTTGTATATTCCGCGTTATAAACTGGGTGTCCCAAAATCACATAAAAAGATCTCAACCACAGAAATGGCTTCCTCGGGAGTTATAGGGGAGCCCGCGATGATTGATTTATGTGAATAGTTACGAAACCCTGCGTGTTGAGATAACGAAATTGTGTATATGTATATAACTTCTCATGCGCGATTTGGATATATTAGGAATTTGCTGAAATTTTGATCAGGGGTGCGGAAAATAGGTGGGGCTAGGGGCATTTCTTTCCCCAACTTTTTTTCAATGCAATTCTCGTCAGTTTTTTCGATAGCACTCACCATTTTCTAGATAAATCGATTTTAAAAGTGTGCTGCGTGACAAAAATTAGTGCTTTCTCCTCATAATAGAGTAGTGTATCAACCCATTATCATAAGCCACCCTGTACACATTCCTGAGCTCATTCCGCTCGGCCTATTGGACCCTTTTTGCATCGTCTTCGCGAAAACGGTCATCGAGCGAATACTAATATCAAAAAACTATCAGCACAGCTTACCCTGCCTACCCTATTAGTCTAGCCTCAGATCTTGACCTGTAAACATATTGTGCGTACGCTCTGCTTGAATTAAGAATTTTTCGTACAACAATCGACTTATTATTACAAAAATCAAACCAAAGCAACCCACTTAATAAATAACACTTGAAAGAGTGTTGCAGTAGCAAATTTTCCCAAAAATCATTTTTCAATAAAAAATACCCTTTTTTCAACATTTAACCTGTGATGTTGACTCGAATTATGTAAGGAAAAATGAAAATATTAATTTGAAAATATCATGGTAAGCACCCTATTAAGAAAAACTACAGTTTTTATTACGCAGCAGCCTTTTGACATCGATTTATCTCGAAAGTGGTGAGTGTTATCAAAACTCAACAGGTGTATCATTTTTAGGAAGGAATGATGATATTTTCATATTCCCTGGTCACACTTCCGAAAATTGCATAGAAAACAAAGTTGGGGAAAGAAATGACCTTAGCCTCACCAATTTTCCACGCCTCTGATAAAAATTTTGGAAAATTCTCAACATTCAAGAATCGGAAATGAAAAGAAATATACGAAATGTACGAAATTTTGTTATCTCAACACAGAGGGTTTCGGGAATATTTACAAAAAACTATCATCTCTGGCCCTCTTTCAGAAGGCTATAACTCCTCGGGATGGGGGGGGGGGGAATTTCTGGGTTCATGTTTATATGAACTTTTCTCAGTATTTTCAATCCTAGAACCTGTGGTTGCAATCTTTCTATGTAATTTTGGGGCACCCTGTGAAAACATACATAGCGAGCTAATATAAGCAAGTTGATAAGAAAGCTTAGGATGTTCGAATTGATTCTAAACTTATCGGCTGCTACAGTTTTACTGATAGTCGGCTCCGATGGTTTGAGACGTACCATACAGGTCATCAACAATCTGTCAAAACATGCAGCGTCTCAAAGCCCGCACATATCAAACATAGTGTACCGCAAGGATCAGTTCTTTTAGACATTGAAGGTAAAATCACTTCATTTGCTGACGACACCACTATCCTCTGGCAAGAAATGAGTGGAGCTGTACTGAACACAACTGTTATAAACGATATTGGAGTAATTAAAGATTGGTGTGATTCAAATCTACTATCTTTCAATATAAACAAAACGGATATCTCATCCTTCCATTGCAATCTATCAAATTCAGATATGGGAAGTGAAAATATTCCAGAGGAGTTTTGTCTTACAAAGATATACGTGTAGAGCGGAATCAAGGGACTCATGTAGACATTCATCCAAGAATTGCGGCATCCTGACAGTAGTTGGCTTGAACATCTAGAAAACAACGGCTCTGATAAAAAAAATATAGCTTCTTCAGAGCCTGTTTCATTACATTACAACACAAGACAGAACGGACAAGTTGAATTGATAAGACCTCGTACCACTATGATCAAAGACTGCATCATGCATAATGGAATGCAGATATTCGATCATTTTCCAAATCATATCAAAGAAATTTCGTGAAACAAAAAATTCCGAACCAAGGTGAAAATATTGCTCATTCAGACTCCACTATACAACCTCGAGGAATATTTTTCACAGAGACTCTGAACTGTGAAGTTACGTATTCCTTTCTTTCTTGATTCCTAGAAGGATCATTTTTGACAACATATACTCTATTAATATTTGACTATAGCTTCATAGGAGCTCTCACATGTGATAGTGTTATTTTAATATTTTATATGTTTATTATTGTCTATCTTTGTTGTTTTTCTATTTTTAATTCATAACTAAGGCTTTATACGAGCTTTTGATTGTGACCACTGATATGACGGAAATTCGTCGTTCCTCTCATGGACCAAGTGGTCTACCAGTTATCACAGCAACTGTCAAGATATCTGGCAATTCTTCTCACTCACCTGCCAGCTACCTTCAAGAGACAGGCCAATACTGGAAGCCAGGATATCTTAAATCCCAAAGAAATCATACTTCAGAGTACCAGCCCAGAACGAAAGGAGCCCAATAATCTTTGATGCCCAAAAAGATACTACCCTTATGCCCAGGACAAGGATACCTTTCGAGCCCAAAAAGGATCCCGCCAAAATTCGCACGACGATTGAAGGATGCCCATCACTCGTCATTCGCTACCCAAAGAAACCAGCAGTTCCCTTCGTTCAGCAAAGATTTCATCCCAATGCCCAGGACAAGGATACCTTCGAGTCCAAAAGGATCCTGCCGAAATCTCCATGACGATTGGAGAATGCCATGCCCAATCGTCATTCCCTACCCCCAAGTTGCCAGAATCCCACCAAGAAGAGTCTGATTATATGAGATGCTTCAGTTGAATAGCCAGTGCCGGACTAAGTAAATATGTCAGTGTGCATTGTAGACACTAAACTTTTGAGTATGTGAACTCAATTTCCAAGGTGTATTGTTTTTTGTCATTTGAGTATTTTAGGTATAGGTATAGGTTCTTCTCGATATATTTAGTTAATTAGTAATTTCAAAACTGGGGTCCAGTTTTCTCGGAGAAAGGGGTCACGTCACGAGTAGAACATACGGTATATTAGTAATTTCGAACCATGAGGGTTTTATGAACATAAAGTTGATCAACTCATCCGTTGACATTGAATTATGAAAACTAATCAAGGAACTCTCATGAAAAACGTGCGAGTCGAATAAATTGATGTATATAAATATTGGATGAGAGGGTTCTGACTGTACAGCATGTACAGCATGATTCGATGGTAGCTGCTGGGTAGCCCAAGAACGGAGTGGAGAAACGTAGGAATGCCACGAGTTGCCACAAGTTGTGGATAGCCTGACAAACCACTGATATGACGGAAATTCGTCGTTCCTTCCATAGACCAAATGCAGCAACTATGAAGATATCTGGCGATTCTTCTCACTTACCTGCCGGCTAC